GTATATGCTGTTATATTAGCTCCTCCCATATGCTGCTACGGGTAACACCGTAAGCGCGCGAAGCGCACTGGGCTGTCTTAAGCGCGTAAGACAGCCCGATGCATTCTTATTCGCTGATCTTTGTTAATTAAGATCTCGGTAACTATTGCGAATCTAGCAAAATGATATAAAACTTTTTGACTCAGTTTTACTCCTTCTATTTGTTCACGAGAGATGTTAAACCAATTCTGGGACACCCTGTATATATATATATATATATTTGTCACATTTCATACTTAATGACCTAATATATTGTATGTATATGTATTACAAATAAATATTTTTTTATAGATGTACAATATATATATATATGTGTGTGTATATATACACACATATTGTAAGTACTGTATGTAATAATGTTTATAACAAAAAATGTAACCCAAATTAAATTTCAGATAAATATTGAATATCATATTAAAGAGTTGCAATACGCAAAATAAAACAATCTTCTTTTTTCGTGCTTTAATTTATGATTTTGTATATGTTGCAGCAAGTAGCTACACCTACAGTGGTGAAGAAAATTCTACGAATGAAACAAGAGCAACCGACGATATTCGCATGGGAGATTCGTGAGCAGCTCGCGCGACAGGGAGCTTGTGATCCTCAAAGTTTACCGTCTGTATCATCTGTCAATCGTATCCTTAGGGGTGGCGGACTTCATACCGATATTGCTACTATCGAGAATAGCGCATCTAGTGGATACACATCGCAAATTTCAACAAACCCTGGAACGAGAGGTACGACTTAGCACAAGAATAAAAAATGTCGCAAAATTAACATAGCAACACAACCCTTTGTTTCTTTGCAAGAAATTATTAATTTAAATTTTTACGACTAATTGCTACACAAAAAAAACGTGAATAATAGTTTGAGATTGCAATCAAAAGAACAAGAAAGCATTTTTCTATCGCAGAGTTTCGTGAGTTATTATATGCAGGTCATGTTACGAATACATCATTACAGACTAATGATTCTTTAAACACCTGTCTCTAGTATCATAATATTGCAACGATACGATGCATTTCTTCTGATTATTCTCAGAAAAAAGATGGGGCAAATGTCCGAAAACAGACAGTGTCAATCTTCAATCAGTCAGAAGAAGAACAGGAAGAATTATCATAACAGTAGACAGATAGAGATAGAGTTAGAAAGAAACAACAAAAAATCGGAGTATAAGGAAGAGGACGGGAGTCTCCCGTTGTCGTGATTGACTCGTCAATAAAAGCCAGGCAGAATAACAGACACGCAATCCTGTGCTGTCTGAACGGAAAATTTCCTTTACAATTTGTGCCGCTAGATGCTGGAAGCGATGCTTAATTTATCGGCAACTAATTGCAACAAACAAGCGTTTCTCAGACTCGCTTTTATTTTTATCTTTTTTTAAAACTATTTTACTCACAAGTAACAACTAATCTCGGAGAGATTAGAGATTAGAAAGAGAGAGAGAGAGAGAGAGAGAGAGAGAGAGAGAGAGAGAGGAAGAATTCGGTTGTGTGTATAATTACAACATGTAATTGTAAAAATGATATATACTTAAATACCTATCATATAATTTCAATTAGATAACTCAAGTCACAATTCAGACTTATTGATAAAGCTAAAAAGTTATAAATAAAAACGAAACATAACTATAAAAAAGTATGTGTTGTGTAATTTCTTTCAGATACACTTATGAGAACGGATTATCAACTATTTTATCCCGGAGCTCTCGGACCGTTACATATTTCTACTACCTCTGGCAATACTGGCACACCGTCGTGGAATCCGAGTTTCTATTCATCACTTTATCAAGCGACGACTTTGCACTTGCACCAGGGGATACAGTCTTTTGCGTACGTGTATCTCTTGATCTAATTTAAAATATAAAACTGTTATTTTACAGAGAATTTTGCATAAGTTATTACATTTACTTGTAAAATGATGTTTAGACCTTTGGATTCTGAACGTTTATCGGAGCAAAATAGTATCCAAAATCAACTGGAACTGAAATCAAGTTCGAGCTCGACGGCTGGCAGTGATGATTCGCTGGACAAGAGCGATTTAGATGAGAATCTAGTCGAGTCTCAGGATCACTACAAGTCTTTCCGTAGCACGCCCATAATTCTGGAGTTTAGCCAAAAAATCGGCAGCGATCGAAGCGCGTTTGTCAGACACGGTACGTCTAGTTCGCGCGCCACGAATGTGGACAACCGGCGGGAAAGTCCGATGTCGATCGTTGAAACATCGAAGCAGAGTTCTCCTTACAGAACTCTCGAAGAGAAGGATAATAGTTCGGATACAACAATGATGACGAATAAAGGAGTGGCAGTCGATCAGCCACCTCCGCAGAAGAAGAAAAATCCTTATTCGATAGAGGAACTATTGAAGAAAGATGAAAATAAATCCGCGTCCAGGAAGCCGAGATTACCCAACACTGGTGTGGTGCAACCTTGTGGAATTACTGTTATTAAAGAAATTTAAAGGAATGACAAATGTTGAAACAATCGAAAGAGGTAAAGTCCGTTGTATATTTATGCAAAATATCTATATTTGAATTCATTGATTCAATAAATTCTTACTTAGATAAACATTCTAGTGTATCGTCGGCTATAGTGATGTGTGTAGTATAGATATGTGTGTAGTATTAATAAGTGTAAAAAAAAGCTGACAGGGAATTTACGTGACGTATTTATACATATACGAGCTGTAATGACAATTAACTTATACTGTTACAAAATTAATTTAAAAATCATTTCTTTGCATTTGGATGGTATATAATTGGTTCTTCTTCCTATGTATTATATACACATAGTGAAAGTAACCGAAAAAAAATGTCTTAGAAATCTAATGTAAACTAAACATTAACTAATTTAAACTAACTTTTGCACTTTCAATAAAGTGTAAAAGTTCAATAGAAGAGACATCTTGATATGTGGGCTAAAGTTTTCATCTCTATTTCGAGAGAGAACATGATTTTGTTTCAAAATATAACAGCAAATAACGCAAAGCCATACGTAACGTTAGGATACATTGTCAAATGTAACGTAGTAAATCATGTGTACGTATATAATCTTTTGTGTATAAGGATATCAAATTTAACTTATAATTAACTTATTCCTTCATTCCATATTTCGCGTGGCCTGCTACTGTTACCTCACCGTTTTTTTTATCAACTCGACATGCAACTGTATTCATAGTTTGAGGATTGAAAGTTTCACTGTGTCTGCATTGTGCCAGTAGTAACAATCAGTAAAAAAACGTGTTTTGAAGAAAATTTTGAAAAAAATATATTATACATTTTCTTCAACAAAGTTATCTCGTATATACTTAGTTGGTTAAATTGTTGTAGCAACGGAATATTAATTAACATATCTTTACACAAATTGTCACATTAATGTAATATAAATTACGTAGTATATATAATTAACATATTATTTTTATTATAATAATATTATTATATCATATATATATAATAATATTTGTTATTATTATTTATATATTATTATAATTAATGAAACATAAATTCAGCACTTTCAAAATATTGCGTCAGTAAAATGAATTTTTTTTTTTTAATTAATTGAGACATAATTTAGCGGCCACATGTAATGATTCCTGGTGGAACAAAGAAAAACTTATAATGATAAAAATAAATGTGTAAACTTTAGCTTTATTCAAATAAATAAATAATTGACTAAATTTTATGTTTTCGGCTGCATGGCAATATCGTTTGTAGATATGTCCTAAGAGTCCTCGCGAAAACAAACAGACAACCATACAATCATACGCATCTTTATTGTGTTTCTCACTTTAAAACTCAGACTGAAAATAGCTGCGCGATGCTATTATACACGGGAACACGGAGAGCGAATAATTGAATAAAAGCCTACAATAAAGAAACGGCTGTAAAGCATGCAAATGGGATATACGTAAGCTGATCGTCGTAGTGACGATGGTGATGCAGTAAAGCCATAAACTACTAAGTCGTGTCATGTGTGAACACACATCATGTGTGTATACCTTGTAAAATACGACACGTCACTCGCGTAAAAAGTTAAATAGCGATGTTACCAAGCGGCCAGATCCCCTTCTTTACCTCTTTATATTTATAACGTTGTAAACTTTTATATATATATAAAAGTGTACAACGATATATATATATATATATATATCGTTTCCTTTTGCCAATTAATTAGTGCATTATAAAACACTAGTAATTTAATATTAAACGATTGCTCGATTTTCTTTTTTATATCTGTCGATTACACGCTCGCTTAGTGTATTCATCAGTTGATGTTTTTATCCATAAAAGCTGCAAAAACTAAAGTGAAAAGGAAACGCAAAAAAGAAAAAAATTCTATATTTATGCTGTTGTGCAAGCGAAAGCATCGTCTCGATATCATGCTCAAAAAACTTTCTCTTTTTATTTTTGCCATACATATTATTAAATCTTAGTGTAAGTATATAACATTTTGAAAAAACCCAGTACTTGTAGATGCGCACATTCGCTTAAAATATTTATTTTAGATTTAGATTTGCCACGCAAAATTATGTAAATGAGCATTCTGTGCGTCAAATTATATATTATTACGCAGGTTGCAGAAAACAAAGATAAAGTAAGATTTTAACTTTTATCCTCATCAAACATATTGTAATTGTTAAATTTACAATGTGAGAAAAGTTTAACTTTGTTGCACAGAATGCTGATATAAAGATCTGATTCTTAGAATGATATAATCATGTACAATATTATGTACTAATTGCCTAAACAGTCTCGTAAGTTTCAACATATAACTTTAAGCAATGATCTCTTTAGAATTAGAAATAGAAAAAATTAAAAATATAAATCAAACAGCGATTTTAATTTAAAATAACTGATTCACAAATCGAAGAAACGCAGGATTATAGATTATGATTTGTTGTAACCATTGCCGTAGTAGACTTACAAAAATTGTCGTGTAAACTGTGTAAATTATCAGCACTAAATGGATACTCCTAATAAACTTGTCCTGTATAATATATCATTAAATACACTAGTCAAAATAACTTATGTTTACATTTTTTTCTTGTTATTATAAGTTGTTTTTTATTTTGTAAAAATTAATCATCTTGTAGTTTTCTCAGATACTTTTTTTCAATTATCTTGTAGTATTAAGGCTAAGAACGATTAAAAAATAAACAATCGAAATGTCCTGCTAATTCAGTTTCATTTATTATTAATATTATGATCGTTTATGAGATCAATGGCTTGGCTTATTGTTTTTATTAAATAATATACTGTTGTCTGGATATATTATATAAATTTCGTTGATATATAAATATATATAAACAAACATTTTATGCGTTTCTGATAAAAGTTATAATATATTGCAAGTGGTTTAAGTAATTACACTTAAAATATATTGATCTTATAAAAATTTCTGCCAGTTTTTTATGTACAATGTTGTTCTTTTTCACATCTTTATGTACAGATCTATTTAATTCTTACGCAACTATCAGCTCATTTAGAGCTGGAAATTATGTTGCGAGTGATTGAGAGTATTTGTGGACATAGTATGCACCGGATGTGACGGTGCTGATGTGTACAAGCTATGATGCGAATGCGATTTTGCTCTAGAGAGTTCGCTATAGCGGTCCTGTTCAGGTGGAGCAACCAGAAGAACTGGTCTCAAAGACAAAGACTTGCGGGAACCAGCAACACTCTGAGCTTCGTTAACATATCCTGGATTCACTTCTCCTGAGGCATGAAAAAAAAAGTGAAATGTATGAAAATTTCAGAAAGAATATCATTGGTATTAATTACCTTTGTACAAAGATCCATTATTGAAAGGCTCTGGTTGGAGTCTCACATGTCTAGATGCTAAAATAAACGCAAGGGCAGACAAGGTAGTCGCATCCAGAGCTGCAATTGCAGCGAGCGGTATCGCCCATCTCACGGCACAAGCACCAGGATTGTATCTGCAAACAAAATAAATTCTTAAATTGTCATGTTTCTTACATTCATTATTATCTTGTGTAGATAGTATTCGCTAGATTACTGCTGCTCATTGTGTTTGCAATAATTCGCATATGTGAAACGTGTGTCTAGTTTAGAAGTTCGATGCAATAAGAGCAGAATTGCATAAGTTATTTACTAACTTTTTATTAATTACGTTAAATGAAATTACACACACATAACTGATACGCTATTAAGTAATTAAGTACAAGAAGGCCAATAGGTGTCTAAATTGGTTGTGTTTTTAAAATTTTTATATTATTTAACAAGTTGCAAACGTTTCAATCGGAAGATGCTATATGTTTCAATGCAAACGCTACAATTGATCATAAACGCTGTTATATAAGTATAAAATTAAAAAAGGGAGAAAATGAGGTAAATCTTATTCCATCATATGCTATTATCTATGTCTAGATATTTATATATACCAAATGAGTCTAATAAAAAGTTTACCACGTTTTTATAAAAAATGAAATGGTGAACTTTTTATCGGATGTAGTAGTAACAATTAAAAGTATTTATTGTATTATCTTTTCTCTAGCAGCAAAAAATAAATATTAAATATTTACAATTATGCAGCTTTAATACTGTGACACACACATACAAATATAAATAAATAAATATATATATATGTATATATATAAATAAATATAAATAAATATATATATATAAATATATACATATAAATAAATATATATATATGTATATATATACATACACATATACACATACACATATACATATACATATACATATATATATGTTTTTATACTAAAATCACGCACCTCGATGCAGCTGCGCCGCAAACAGCACGAATTATTGGCGAATCCCAACCGAGAGGATAAATGCACACTCCAATTGCCATACAGATTCCTATGTAAGAAGAAATTAAAAACATTTCATTTATACTTTTTTTTATTTAGACTTTAAATATTTCACTGAATATTTAAATGACCAGGATTTAACTGACTGTGTATCTCTACAATTATAGATACGCGGAAAATACTATTATGCTCTAAATAATATATACTTAATAATAATGCGCTTAATGCCACACAAATAAATCTGTCACATTTAGCCATTGCAGAAGAAAAATGCTAGATAGATATTATCTAACATTAGTTCTTTGAAGGTGAAGTGATGTCGACAAACGGTATACTCGCAGACTGGGTCGAGCACATTATAACGGTCTATTCTACATTTCACTAAACAACTTGTTAGCAATTCTCAGGCAATAATATGCAATATGATTACAAAAAAAGGAAAATTCGGGATGCTACATGATAAGTTGCTACGTAAACATCATTATTATTTTATACAGAAGTGTTTTGTGTATTCGAGCAACGAAACTAGCAAAACTAAAATGCGTTTCTAAAAACAAGCAATCATTTTTAATAAATTGTAATCAACTAAAAATAGTTGTATTATAAACTAATGCTAGTTACCTGGAAAAACTATTAGAGCATATTTTTGTGCGTATGATTTTTTTTTAATCAAAAATAATTTTTACGAAAAAGTTTTTAGTTAGTGCAAAATCGTAAAACAAGAGCAATTTTCGACGATAATCAACATTGTCTAAAATTATCAATCTCATCATCAAGATAAAATTAGGTGATAAAATATATTACAATAAAAGCGCATTGAAATCAAACGGTTACGTCACTTCCCGGTTCCTGAATGCCTCAGCGCAGTGAGTCGACGCAATTTGCAATTACATTTCGCTGATAAAGAATTACGGTCTTGGTAGATTGCATTAATGTGTTACGAGAACTAGCTGATCTGACTACTTTCTAAAGTAGTCGTTTAGACAAGCGTGCTTTTAAAGAGCTCTTTGCTCTTATTCAACATTCTCAAGAGATTTTCAGGAAAATGTTTTATATTATTTTTTATATTAAACAAGAAGATGATTACCTGAGACCACTTGCATCCAAGCGCACATATAAAAAACAGTGGTACTCTGGCAGAAAAAAAACATGAGCATCGCGCAAATTGCCAATAGTGCGATTATCACTGCGATGCCAACTAGAATTGTACTAGCTCGGAAGGGAACATTAGCGATTGTCGATAGATCATCCAATCGACCGATACATTCTTCTCCTAGTTCACCTATATAATTAAATATACTGTATATATAAAGTACAAAATTTTACGCATTGTTTATTTCTCTTTCTTTAAAATTAGACAAAATAATAAATAAAACACAATAAATAAAGTCACGTTTTTGAAACGTAATTTTTGTACAAACATGAATGTAATTTTTGACATCAAAATATATAAAGATTGCATAATACATACCATTGCCGTAACTACATCTGATCCACAGTCCGAATCTTCCCGGATTCTCATGTTCTAAATCGCCAAGCCATTCAGGTGTAACAAACGCAACAACACCAATAATGGCATAGCATATGGTAAATATTCCCCACAACACGCCGATTGCTTTAGAATTACGAATGTAATTTGTCGCGTACATATGCGAAGATTCGACATATTCGATTTTTGAACCCATCGTGATATTGTAAAATCGCTGATTTTGTTACAATAACTTTGATGTTTTGACCACGTCGTTTAAAAGATCTTTCCTTGCGAAATTATTCAACCATAATGTTATCTCCGGGAATTTATATACATAGAATCGCGAGAAATTACCGATTAAATCGCAGAAGAAATGAAAATTAAAGACTCAGTGCAATTTGATTGTTTATACTACGTAGAAGGAAGATCGTCGATCTTGGAATATATTTTTCAGCATCCGAGTGTGCCTGACAACAATAGAATAGATTGAAACAGGCAAATTATGCGACTTTAATCAGGGAAAATTTGCTCGTACAATAAAGAACTTTCACTGCTTCAATCAACAACAAATTCGTACTTGAATGGCTCTTTCTTTACAGACTTCTTTGCAGATTTCTTTTCTTAAAATAAAAAAACGTGTCGTTTATTCTTCAATTAAACAAGTAAAGATATTGTGAATAGGTTTCTAGTAAAAAAAGAAACATTCTCGTACGGTTATATCCGCGATAAATATGCGTCATCCGTGACATTTATGTTCAAACGCGTTAAAACATTTTCACACCATATGTTAGAGCGGCGCAAGCATCTTTATTCGGTTCAAGTAATACAATAGAATGCAGAATGTTAAATGAAACTGTTAACAAAGCAGAAAAAGAAAAGAATAATTATGTATATATTGTGGTATTAAGTACAAAACTTGACATGTATATATATATATATACATATGTATTTCAACCGGTATGTCGCGGACACACAATAAAAAATTTACAAGGGTGTGCCGTGGGTGTATGTGTGTTTAGGAAGAAATAAAAAAAGAAACAAGACACATAATGATTGAGGAAGAAAAAACAAACTTGAGTGAGATATTAACTAAATAAGTAATAAGATCACTTTACATGAAATCAGTTATCACACACACGGTAAAAACTTTTTTATTTGAAATGTTTTATTATAGCTTTATTAGGATGGAAAGAAAGAAAGAAAAAAGAGAGAAAGAGAGGAAAAGGGAAGAGAGAGAGAGAGAGAGAGAGAGAGAGAGAGAGAATCTGATGCCTTAATAAATTTTGCTTATGTTTAGTGTTGCCGTGATTTGAAAAAGGTTGAAAACGCTAATATGTAAAATTATGTGTTATATGACATCATCATGAAAGAACACGGTAGAAGCGCGACACCTAGTGTAAAGTTTATTTTATTAAAGTTCAATGAAAAAATTTAACTCACCGAAATATTCAGATATAATGTGACCTTCGGTATCGGCGGAAAATTCTAAAGATGATTTTAAGTGATGACCAACGCAGAACGTTATCGGAATGCTTGAAGGAAGAGAAAACTAACCAGATGTCTGATATTACAATTAGAACGATGACCGTTACCGGCGCGATCACTAATATATTGCTGCATGTCGCGAAATTTGCATTGCACACATGCACATGCAGCTACTACGCATGTGACAAGCGGATAGTTATAAGAACGAGCGGAAAATGCGACTCCAAAGAAAGACGAGAAGTGCAATACGGTGGCACACCTTAAGATGGCCGTTCAGGTGAGCCAGGTGAGTTTTACATGAAGGCGAGAGAAGGTAAAAAGAGAGAGAGAAGAGAGAGAGAGAGGGAAAAGATCATGCGAGAGAGAGCAAGCGTTGAGAAAAGAAAGTTGTTTAATTAAATGGTTTCTTCGTGAACTCCGAGTGACTGCGAAAAAAAGATGCGCGGAAAAAATGACACGTGTACTATTAATTTTGTCGAGCTCGGGAACAAATTTATCTACCTGAGTATAAGTCGCAAAATAGTCACTTATTCTTCAATATTAATTGTTTAAATTAATGTGTATAAATATATCAAGTATTCGATATACGTACGTAATGTATCGCACAAGTTTTATAATTTTAATACACATTTTTATATTAATTTTATTACAACTATTACAAAATATATGACATCTCTTTTTTACAGTTTATAAAAATTATTAATATTAAAAATTATTATTATTAGTGTACACTAAGTTCAAAGAGAGAAGAGAATCCTACTGCGCATAGAGGAAGAAAACGGGCAAAGTGGAGATTGCGTTGCGCGCAGGATTGGCGAGATACTCACTGGCAGCCAATAATTGTAGAGTAAAGGTGCTTTCTAGTAAAAAAAATACGCAAAACTGACGAGTTTTTGTCCGCTCCGAAAATATTCTCTCATTGAACAGAGTATACTGAGGCGCACTAAAACTGTAGCTCCTGTAAACGAAGCTTCTTCTCTCTTTATTCTCGTCTATTCATCGCAATCACAATGTAGTGCAGCCTCAATGCAAGAAAAGAACAGATTTAGTTTGTTTTTTCCTTCTTCGGGTTTTTTTAAAATTCGTGTACTGAGTAGTATCAAATACTTTGAATACGTAAAATTGTCGAACGAGTGTTCAGAAACACAATCCAATTTTATTGCAAGAAAGTCTTTTAGATTTTTAAGATTTCCGAGAACTCTGACACGTGTAAAGTTATGTCGGTTGTGAAGAAATTATTTAATGTAAATGTAGTAGTGCATTTTCCGAAGTACAAAAATTTTGTTTCCAGATATGATGACATATACGGGTGACGTCCGTTTGACCACGGTACGATTGAACACGTACCATTGGACACAACACGTACGATTGGACACGGTACGATTGACCACAGTACGATTGGACACCGCAAGATTAGCATACTGTACGTACCGTGGTCAAACGGAATACGCTCAACATATGCAATCATCAACAGCGAAATAAAAAAAAAGCGTTTCAAAAAATTACGCGCAAAACGATGCAAAATTTAGACATGACCGCACTGTTTGAAAACTAACAACCACGTTAAAGATGTAAATTTCTGCGAAAATCATAAATATGAATTGGTAAAATTAATCACGGATCAATTTTGTACTTTGGAAAATGCATTACTCTTCAAGGATTGTCAGTCAGGCATACATTAAACAAAATAATTTTATTTAAAGAACAATAATGTAAAAAACACCGATTGATTTGAATTTCCCGGCATTTACTGACTGAAGCGGAGCCTCAAACAAATCGCACTTCGATATCTCAGCCAACTTCAGCTGGACGACACCGGGCATATGCCTTTAATATAGTAAAAGTGGAGAAATGGTAACATTCTGATTGGCTATCTTCCTAACATGTCTCTTTTCCGTTTGTGTTCCGTTTTACTATTTCATTCACGGAACTCAAAACGCACTCTTACGAGTAATTTGAATTCGAATCGACAGATAGCAGTAATAGTTACACGCGCTTACACGACTGAGTTCCCGAGTACTTGTATGTTCTTTGAACGAATTGATAGATCAATTCGCTTCTTCGCTTATCTTTCAGTTACAGTGTAGCACACATAGGCTTCGTGATGATTCGATATATCTACATACAAACTAAATAAGGCAGATCTCAATAATGACAAAAGATGTAAGCCGACGTACAAGCGAACTAAAATATGCCAGGTACGTAACACATACGCGGACGAACGATCAATAAATTATTTGTGTGAGGAAAATTGCATTTCGGAGCAAATGTTAGTTGCAAAAATTTGCTCGTGTTAGTGATTTTTTATCACATATATCTAAATTTTACGATGTTCTCGATGTTGCAAATGACTATTGATACATTTATGTCTGAGCTGTGTAGAAAACACCGGTTTATTGTATGGTTACAATAATAGATATCTAATTGAGCAGTTGATAGCTTAAATATTTCACAAAATTCACGTATTGTCGATAAATTGTTGACAAATATTTTACATATAGCCTATAGAAGAATACTTTGCTTAAAAAGTTCCTCTCTATATTAAAAATTCCTCTATATTAATCGGAATATTAACATTTAAAACGTGACATGTGTATCAAATTGTTAAAATATTCACATGTCGTAATCGTAAGAAATGCTTGTCAGATATTTTTATCTACTGTGCGCGCGCGCGAGCTTGAAGCAATGTAAATCTCGTCAATTTTAAATGCTCGTCTCATCTGAAATATATTATAATTTTAATAGTATATTATGTTTATATTTCATATAGTTTTTGTGTAATCTTTTTACAGAATATATGAGAAATGTTCCTCTACGATCTGTAAAGTGTGTCAACAGCTGCTCGAAGTGAAGAAAAGTATTGTAGCGAATGTAAGCCTTGCTACATCAGAAATGGCTGATTCTGGCCTAGAAACAGGCTCGATAAGTCCTCGTGAAAACACAACATCTGAGATCTCTAGCACAGACTTGGAAATAACACAAGCAACGGAATACTCTGCCAATGATGACGATTCGGATCGGACATCCGAGCAAGCAACCGAGAGAAACAAGAATAAAAAAATATTGTTTTTGTCGGATAATGAAAAGTGTAAAACAGTCAGTAATTATTATGAATATCATGAAAATAGCAAAATTGAACCCGTGTCAAACAAACATAATGAAACATATTCTTCCTTGGAAACAAATCAGCTTACTTTAGAAAATATTGAAAGGACAAATGCTGAAGAAGAAATTCTTCAATATGAAAATCGAATGTTAACTGAACCGTTTTACGAATCAGATTGCAGTAGTGATGAAATCGAACCATTTGAATTCTCTGAACCAGTTCCTTCAACAAGTAGCGATCACGAGAGAAGAACTTGTACAAAGGTGGATCGAAAAATATTGTCCGATCCCGAAAAATCGGAAAGTATAATGAAACCGAAATTTGATCATTCTCATTCTAGTGTTACGATTGATCGTAATAGTTCTTCATCGAGCGGTTATTTTATTGACGCGTCTACTTTGAACGACGACGTAGATATAATATCTACAAATGTAATAAAAAGTCAGTACTCGAGCGATAATACACCGTATTTCGCACTTTCAAGTTACACAGAATACAAAACAGACAAATTAAGTAATATTACAGAAGAACAATCGTACAAGTATTCGCCGCTTAAAAGCTTAACTTTACAGACTGGTCACGAACGAGTAGCAGAATTTGAACGAGAACTGAAACTCAACGAATACTTGCGACCATTTCCAGAATCGCGTAAAATAAATCGAATACATTCCACATCAGAAGGAAAAGTAGATGTAAACAAGTCGATGGACAAGGAATCATTAGCGGTAGAAATTAAAGAGGCGGACAGCGGGGAAAGCGCACATCCTTCTCCGTATCCGGATAATAATTCAAGGATAAATATCCGAGATGAAAAAGTGGAAACATCAAACAATAGCAAGGCCACCGCAAGAAATGAAAAAGAAAGAGATACAAACGACGATAAGCAGAGAACACTTATCAGAAGAAACACATTCGAACTTGACTCTAACGACGAAAAATTGTCCGTTTTGAGACAGGAATATGAGCGACGGCAAGGTAGCCTTGTTTTCCAGAGCGCCATTCCGCAATATTCGGGACATCGCGTAGACGGAGATTCTTCTTGCCATGCAAAAAGCTTTCCGGACTCGTTGGTCCCTCCTGCGGTTACCGAATCATCGATCATCTTCTCACCTAGCGTTCAGCTTCCCGTTAATACTCAGAAACCAGTTTCGTACTTGTTGAATGGCTATGAGATTAATCAAACGCGAAAGCAAAATAATTTCTTACCAAACAATCTTAGATCCTTTACGATTTATCCTGTGACTAAGAGCGCTAGCGACAAGTCTATTCTCGACTATAACACAGACTCGGACGATACATCTAATCATTGCAGCACTAGTTTGCCAATTACCTTAGACTCTACCTTGGAGAAAGGTAATCGGGCGTACTGGTCTGCGAAGAGAGGCAAATGCGACGAAACAACTCCAATTATCTCTGGCGGCGTTAGTATGTCGGATTACTCGAAGAAATCTTCGGACAGTCCCACCGTACAACGCAAAACAGAATCCACGCCTATAGTGTCGGGCGGTTCGGTAATTATGAACAAGCCTGAAAAAAACGTGAAATCTTCCAGAATATCTTCTTCCATGACCGCTTGGGTAGTCGACATGAGCGACTGCAACAAGGAAGACTCCGGATCGCGAAACAAGTCGCGGAATATGTCGCAAAGCTTTTCCACTTCGGGATGCGTGAAGAAATCTGTGCAAACGTCGAATACTGAAAAACATAATAGTTTAGAATTTTTTGTCAATTTGAAGGACATAAGCAGCGATAAACCCGCGAAAAACGATCACTCGTTTGGAAGAAAGAAATCTGATAACAATAGCAAGCCTTATTACGAATTTTACGTAGATATCTCTGATAAAAAGAATGATGCAAAAATCAAACCACCCGAGAAGCAAGACAAAAAAAGTATTAAAACCGATGTTTCTACCGAAGGTGAGAAAAAGAATATCTTTTCAATGTTTATCGATCTAAATGATACACACGAGAACGATCGAGAAAATATTAGAGATGCTCCAAATAGACAGAGTTCTTCGACTACACTTAACAAACTGACAGATAGTAAAATAAGTAATAGTCCGAAAGATAATAATAACACGGAAGATAGTCAGGCATCGCGCGAACAAAAAAGAAACAAAACGAAACCTAGTGTTTTTATGTTTATAGAGTCCGATTCTCCCGTAGTAAGGAGACGAACGCTATCTACTTCGCGACCAACATTCAAACGGCATTCATGGAATGTAGAAAAGATGCAATCACCAAGCGGCAGTAACGCTTGTGTGGCGAAAGAACTTATGTTCAGAAGAGAACACAGACGTGCGCATAGCGTTTCGATTGATAATAGAGACGCTTCGAAGCAATCTCAAACAAAGACAAGCTCGTCTAGCCATTCGCTGAGAGACATTGCCAAAGCAGATTCTTCGAAACATACAAATTCAAAGATTTCGAACGAAGAGAGCAACTCCAACAATATGGACACATCGTTAGAGGATGTGTTCGATATAAAGGATACCCCACCGAATTCTCACGTGGAAATTAACAACGACGCAGAGTTACGCGGCAGCGTGAATCATTGCGAATACAAAGAAATTATCTCATCGAGTCAGAACAACTTGGAAGCTAGCGAAACGAATAAGAACGAACTCTCGGATACCTCCGCTTGGGAAAAGACTTGTACAGAAAGTACAGAAGATACTCAAACTCATAAAAGTAAGACATTCGATATCAGTAGCGGTAGTGGACCTTCGCCAGACAGCGAGAATCGCGACTACGAATTGACTGATTTGTTGAGTAATAGAGTTGGCGAACGATTGCAAATAGTCGCCGGTAATAAGATATCTGAAACACACAAGTCACTCAGCGAGACAATCAAGAAAATCGAGTGCGAATTGAAAGATCCGGAATATGAAAACGCAGAACGTACGTACGAATTTCGTTCGTCGAAGGACGCAAAATCACTCACAATCAATAACAATATAAAAGATGTACATTTAGATTCCGATAAGACAAATTCCTCTAGTTTCGTGCGTTTGTCGGATTTGGATAAAACACCGATCGCGAATCACGCGCCTGATATATTGACAATAAAAGATGACAGAAGCACGTGCCGGATAAGTAGTATCATGGAAACATCATGGATAGAAAGTAAATTGGCAACAACGAGAAACAACCAAAGTCTAGTCAAACCAGTCTCCAGAAAACTCGCTTCTGTTATGAGCACGTCACTTCCTTCTAAACAGAAATCTCCACTGGAAGATTTAACAGGTGATTGCGAGGGAGAAGGAATTATTTCCGAATCTGATCTCAGCAGCATGCAAAGTAGCATGGGACGTTCCGGAGCGGGTATGTATTTGAACTTTGGATATTTTTATTTATTCTCTATCTTACGTATAGTTTATGTAGTTCGAAATACGAGTTGCAATGTGTCTTATCAATTAGTGTATCAGACATGTACTGTTAAAATGCTACCTTCCCCTTCTGTATTCAAATTATTTTAATCTGTTGCACTTTTGCGCTTGGGAAAGCATTGTCTCGTTTGATTATAGAAGGAAGCACAGAAGAGACCGAAACATCAAGCATTGCTGGTGCAAAGCCATACAATAGACTAGGCGAGGATTTGTTAAGAATGTTTTTGGAGGAAATAAATCCTGACGTTACAATAGATGTAGGCGGTCGTCATATAAAGGCGCACAAATGTATATTAAGTTCCCGCTGTCAATACTTTGCCGCAATGTTAAGCGGCGGGTGGATCGAGAGTACAGGCAACATTATTTCTTTACAAGGGTATATCTCAAAACATACATTTGTATTTTTATGCAAATAAGTTTATACATTTATATGTAAAGTTTTTGTTAATATTTATTTTAGATATTCTTACAACGCGGTTCATTTTGCATTATGTCATATCTATAGCGGAGAAAGTAACATACCTGATTCTATAAGTATCGTTGAATTAGCAACTTTAGCTGATATGTTGTGTTTGGAAGGTCTTAAAGAAGTTATTGGATACACGCTTAAACTTAAGTACTGTCACTTGTTTCACAAGGTAAATATTTTTATTTAAAAAAGTGTAAAATAGACGAAACAAACAACAATGTTTTAGGAAATATAAAATTATAATAATTGAAAAATTGTTATATCTAAAAAAAAAAAAAAAAAAACAATTTTTCTCGTTCTCTCTCTTTCTGTTAAAGCCTTGCCAAATATGTGCTGTTGGGGTATTAGAATGTATGCCGTTAGCTGCGGCATACGGTCTGGACGAAGTTTATCGAAAGTCGCTTAGATGGATTACAAAACACTTTGTACGAATATGGCCGTGCAAAACATTCGCTACTCTTCCGAGAGAACTTATGGAGAAATGCTTTCATCAACATATAGTGCATATGGTATTAAACTGCAATACATCAAAATTAATGTGAGGTTTAAATATTTTCTTTAATTATGATTTTGTTTTTTCCATGTAACTATCGACATAGTCTACCGACAATGTGCTTCAAACTATCATGGACTGTGATAAATTGTTAGCGACTTTGCCGAATGTACGATGGGCAGAGCCAGTATTCCAAATGGTATCGAATCTACTTGACACATCGATAAAATTTCTGTCGGAAAATTTTGCAACCGTTCTAGGAAATGATAGTTTTGACTCGCTTGGTCGCGAATTGATGTGGAATATCAGTCGTTTAGAGGATAATTTTTTAACGGCTGTCGAACAATTGTCACCCGAACAAGCGTGTAAAAGTTATTCAAAGCTGAACAAGATGTTACCTGCGTCGCAAATAGATGATTTTCAGGGTAAGAACAAATGGGGACCGCTTTTTATTGATTTCTTGAATAAGCTTCAAAGTCGCGTGGAAAAGTGTTTAGTACGTGACGCGGCACGTGCCGCAAGGACCACTACTTGGTTAAAAATGGATTTAGAACTTCGCAGAAGAATACAAGAACTAGCCTGTCTCGTAATCTTGCCTCACGAGAATTTGTCTTCGAAACATTTATCCAGACGTACGAATTTCTTAAAGGTAAGTATTTCTAGATTGAAAAAAAAACCATATTTGTTAAACATACAATTAAACTAAACAGAAAAAAACTCAAGACTAAAACAGCTTCAATGTAAAAAAATATTGATTAATTTACCTAAAGGAATCACGTGCATTGTCTAATCGGTCGACAATAAATCGTAATGTGGAATTAAAGCGCGTCAAAATGGCGATTTCGGAACACAACGATAAAACCTTAAAGCAAGGATCGACATCATCAAATTCTAAACAACCAAAGAAAGTTTTACACAAACCAAAAACAGACCCACTTGAGCGTAAGATGCAAGAAGATAAACAAACTACGTCGGAAACCGCCAGACCAAGGTCGTGGTCTTGTAAAATAGAGGTATGTTTTACATTTGTAGAAATGTTTAAAAAAAAATAAATTTTAAACTATAAACAGACAGTTGTTGTTACAACGAAGATTTTTGACACTGAAAATTTAACTGTAGGTCAAATCAAGATATTTAGAGCCGAGAAACAAATATGTTCCAAAAGAGAGCGCATCCACGACAAATCACGACAAGATTAATTTGCAACAACGGCGCAAGATTATGATTTCCTCATCCGACTCATCGCGTACTTCGAGCCCGGCTATGAAACGTGCAGCTGACAAGAAACCATTGTCCAAAATAAAACTTACAGCCAAAAAGGATGTAAAAGCTCTCTCGTCCGATAGCTTAACAGACGCAGCTGCAGCTCGAACTGTAGCCAATAAGAAAATTTCGATCAGTAAGAGCTGCGGTATTACAAGACCTGAATCACCTTCTTGTAAACAAAAAAGTACCGAAATTGATTTATCAATTGATTCTTTGGAAACCAAGAACAAACCGACCATTGTCGTTAAAAAAAAAGTTAACAAAATGGATACATCTATGTCTACCGACAGTCTTATGACGGAGGTAACAGCAACTCCGAAATCCAATGCATCTAACAAATTCTCACCCGTTTTGACAAAACCTACAAACAAAACACAGACTTGTGACAGGTAAAATAGATTTGAATACTTTATTATTATTATTATTATTATTATTACTGTTACTATTATTATTATTATTATTATTATTATTATTAGCATTTATTAATTTATCTTTATACAGAACAACTTTCTACATCTCGATATTTTTTAAGATAATACGTACTTGACATACATAATATTAAATATAGATAGTTTTTCTCGTGTATCAGAGTAGAAGTAAATTTAATTTCTAAATGACAGGACAAAGAAAACCTCTCCACCAACGCAACAGAGAAGTTCACCGACTGTTAAGATGGATACGAAGAGACCTCCGAAATCAGTGGAAAGTTCCACTGCCGCCAGTCGCAGTAGAGCTGCCGCTATCAGCAATGCATATCATAATTCCCAGAGTTTGCGCAGAAATTTATTAGATGCTGCAAAGACACCGGACATCGCTAGCAAATCAGTGAATACAATAGCTCCCTTAAGAACGCGACAAGTTACGCAGGCAAGTGTGCTTTCCAGTACGAAAAAAGAGAAGAAAGAGACGCAAAATTCACAGAGTTCCGACAGCCCTGGTAAAAAATCATCTCCCAAGTTAAGTGCCGCCAATAAAATTAATAAATCGATAATTACTGGCAAGAAAAGTGTTAGTAGCAAATTTGACGATAAGATAAAAAAGTGCCATAACGGAGAGACACAGAAACAACCCACAGTAGGTTCTAGATCAGGCACATTCCTTAAAGATGAACCTACGATACTTAAAAAAATAGACATTAAATCGTCATAATTTAATGTGATACTTTTGTTAAGAATCGTATCTAACATGTAAGATATAAAGAAATGTAAGTTTAATTTAAAGATTGCTTGGAAGATTTTTTTTTAACGCTCGAATTAGCTAAATTTTTTAGATGAGTAAACAGATGTGCTACAAATATATAACGTTAACTTTCCGTGACTATTCGAATGATGTAATAATTATCAACACTATTAAGTACACAATTTTCATACTTCCTATATTCTTCTAATAGTACATATAATAATACGAGTCATAATATATATATATATATGGATAGAAAAAAAATTCTTTAAACCGCATAGTCCAAAACTGATAGATTAATGTTAAAATAAAAATATCAACGATAACTTCCGTTAAAGAAAAAACACTTCAATCTATATTCGGGTCTTCTTCAATGATCAATAATAATTATATATATAAAATTAGCGTAAATTAATGAACAGATCATGCACGGGAAAAAGTTGAATATAGGTTTTTTTTCCCAAAACGAGGGCAAAAATGCCCAAGATACTCGAATGCAGGTCCCTTATTTCTTTTGTTAACTAAGTTGCATTTAGTTCGTTACTATTGCACAATTAGAATATAAGTGAAGAAGTATGATCTCGTTAATCATATTATAAACGATGTATGCTTAAAGAAACAAGATCTTAACTATATATATATATATGCATTTACGCGTCTCATAACACTGTGTACGTGTAACATCTTATAATTCATAGATTAAACAGGCTAACAATGTATTATTTATTTAGATATTTTTTATTCTACGATGTCTAAGTACATTTTGAATAAGTCATATCTCGAACGAGTCTTTACATTACTTACAGCAACTATTACAAGTATAATGTGAAAATAATTACTAACTTTTTTTACATATTCAGTTTTATCAAACAAAAAACATTAACAAAACGATCGCATTGTTTTAATTTGCAATTAGTTATTAGTCAGTAAACAAACGTGTTTTATTCGTTACATTAATATTTCTATTTTGTGTGCAATATGTATATTTTTACTTGAAATTTGTATCTAGTCATTTATATAATCTAATTTACTTTTGTTATGTAATGTTAATAAATATATAAAAATACAATGTTAAAATATTTTTCTATTGAATTTAACTCATTCTATCCTTTGCAATGAAATAATATCACATCATACTGTATATTACACTACTATTCACATGGTACAAAATGCTACAATCTCCGATATATGTATATGTATAAAGAAAAATATGATACTTGCACAACACTCTGTATGTGTGTACGCACATACATACATACATATTTTCTTTCTACAGATTCCCGAAGTCATTCAAAAATCAAAACAATCTCGATACAGTAGAACTCGAATAATTTGGAGTGCATGTGGCCGATTTTTCTTAAATTCTTCGAAAAAGTTATTTTCTTTTTCTTTCAGTTAGCTACCGACCGTTAGCAAGAAACACAAGATATACACATATATATCTTTCTCTTTGACTCTTAGAGCGGAAGACGCGCACTCTAGTCACTTTAAAATCGGCAAATCATTAAATAGTGAAGAAAATTATAGTCTATTTATAAACGAAAAGTCGAATTATAATGCTCGAAATTGGAATTCTACCGTGAATACTTAATATAATATAAAATTGTTTTTGAAAAACTGATATTGTGTAGATTGAAAAGATACTTATGAAGTTTGAAATACAAATACACAATAAAATTTGTAATTTTTTTTTATGTCTTACACACACACACAATTGATCTAATATAAATCATATTATCTAACGGTACCGATATATATACATACAAGTCAATTAGTGTACTAATATAAGTAAATATACACTAGGAGAGGTACACAGAGATATAAAAATAATTTTCAATAGAAAATCAAACATCTAGTAATGTGCCTCTAGGTCTTGCTCGCTTCGAATCCATTTCAGTAGATGGTACAGCTTTTCGTTTATTCATACCTTTTCTTTCCAATTGCTTCTCTATGATGCGCGCATTGTTTGCATATGAATCTGCAACTTCTCTCTGAAAATTGTAATTTTATTTTACACTATCGAGTAATGCCATGTTCTATGTCAACTGAAACACTTAATAAGAATTATTTATATAGAAAAAAAAGTATATCATAAAAATATTAACTTACAGCTTCAATTTCATCTTCTTCCTCATCAATTGTAGATACAGTAACAGAACTGAACTTTCCCATATTCTTAGTATGTTTTGTAACCATTATCTTTTTAGGCTTCTCAACAGCTACTTGATTGTAAATGTCTGTCATAGGACCTTCTCCAGAACTTTTTATCACTGCGCCTTTTACTATAAATATTATATTTGCTTCCGGATCATGTTTGTAATATAACAATAAGCCACATCTGTTACAAGCAAATATACAAAATATGCATGTGTTTATTATATATATATATATATGAAATTAAATATCTTAAAGATAAATCACAAAATAAATATAATTTTCTTTTGCATTTAACAGAATATACATGCAATATTTTTCCTATATTTGTAAAAAAATATGAAGCTAGTGAGAACAATTAATACAGCTTTAGATATAATAATAGGGTTGTTTTCACTTACTTTTTACACTTTTGCCTATATTGTTTTTCAATTCCTTCAGAACGTTTAAGAAATATAGTCTCATCTCGTTCCGAGGTCATTTTGTGAGCATGTTTACTACCATCAATAACTCTGGCTCCATCTCTCTTTCTCAGAGGTAATTTGTCAATAGCACAGTCTATAGATAAATATGAACTTAATATTGATTAACTACTTTCTTAAAAGTATGATTAAACTTTGACTTTTTTTTTGTATTCTTTATAAAATATATAAAAATATCCAATACTAACCTAAAATTAGGGTCATCTGACCACATATACAATAATATATATGCAAAGGTTTTTCCTCGTTATACTCTTCTTGATCTTTTGTGTCGGAACATATAATACTTCGCGAAACCACTTTTGGCATGACTGTTTATTTGATTAAAAAAAAAAAAACGGTCTTAAAAACCCAAATATATATAAATATACATATATATATATGTGCGCTTTCCAGCTACGTACACAATCGACACTGAGTAACACACACGCTCGAGAAAAATTGCCTCGTCCCGCGTTTTCTCTAAACTCGCCAACAAGGAAGTGCAGCCTGTGCTGAACTCCGGCTTATTTAACCTAGAAAAGAACCCTAGGCTTTAGGCTTCTTTCCATATGGGACTGAAAGTGTTACTTAATGAGCGCCGTTGCGTGCGTGTGTGTTTGTGACGTGACTGTGTGTGCGAATGAGAAATGAATGAATTCTGATGTGTATGTGTGTGATATGTGAATGCGGTGCGTTCAGATCCTTATTCCCGTGCGTGTGTTACCCTAAAGTGAGGTTGAATGAGCGAGTCAATGACTGACAGTGTGTGCGAATGTGTGAGAAAAAGTACGAAAGTTGTGTAAATGGAGTGACAATTGGATGTTTGGCGTACGAATGATAGATTACGTGCAGGGGGCAAAGTCCTCCCTGCCTACACACACTATCAAAGGCACCCCAAAAAAGTCATTCCCAAAAATTTAAATGGGTTAGGCACTACCCTAACCAAATCTGATAGATCCTAACCAAGTATTAGTATCTAACCGATTAGTAGAGAGCTAGTCTAAGTTAGCCAAAATATTTTTTTTTAAATACTGAGCCTACACACACTACCAAAAGCACCCGAAAAAGTCATTCTGAAAAATTTAAATGAGTTAGGCACTAACCTAACCTAACCTGATTAGGTACTAACAAAATATTAGTACCTAACTAATTAGTAGAGCTAGTCTAAATTAGCCAAAATATTTTTTTTTAAATACTGAGCCCACACACACTACCAAAGGCACCCGAAAAAGTCATTCCCAAAAATGTAAATAAGTTAGGCACTAATCAAACCTAATCTGGTTAGGTCCTAACCAAGTATTAGTACCTAACTAATTAGTAGAGCTAGTCTAAGTTAGCCAAATTATTATTATTATTATTTTTTTTAAATAGTATGTAAGTATAGTAATACTAATATCTAGGTCAGTATGTTTTCTACAGAAAATAATATTAAAGTAATTTCAGATTCGGATACAGTGGAACACGATGATATTACATCTTTACTTCCGATTCGCGCAAACACAACAAAAAAAAGTTACGTTTCTTATCTTGAAAACTATTACCAATAGAAGATTGAAATTACAGCAGTGTAATCTCTACTTTAACTCAAGTCGACTCCTACACTCATAATTATAACGCCCACTTAAAAATTTTTATTTGTTTTTGGTATTTTAAAATTAAGGGGCTAAGAAAAAGCTTGAGACAAAAGTTGTAGATCTTGACGAGATCTATCAAAGAGGTGCTATGGTCCGAAGCTCTATCTACAATATTGTAGAAGTTATGAAGGTTTTTGTAATTTTTGTAACTTGTTTTTCTTCAAAACGGGGTGGCTAGCAAAAAGCTTCAGACAAAAGTGGGAGAGTTCGACGAAAAAAATCAAAAAGGTTCTATGGTCGGACCCTCTATCTCAAGTAGTTTAGAAGTTAGAATTAAAGTTGAAAATATTGAAAAAAGGTTCAGACAACAGTTGTACATCTTGACAAGACGAAACGAAAAGGACCTATAGCCGGACCCTCTATCTGGATTAATTTAGAAGTTAAAATTATAGGTGAGAATTTTGAGAAATGGTTAAGACAAAAGTTGTAGATATCGACAAGATAAGATTTGTAATCTAGGGTTTTCTGGAAAAACGCCTAGGATCTAAAGATCTAG